TTCCCAGGCTTCGGGAGCTTCCTTACAGGAAGGAGCTCATCAGTAACTTGCTGAATGCTCAAGGGGACCTTCTGGAGATCTCTGCAGCTTGGTGTCCATGCAGCTCTCTCCTCTTCAGCACGCTGTCCTGTGAACTGTTTGCCTCTTTGGTCTCCCTGGACTCTCAGGTCCACAACTCAACTCAGGAAGTCCCTGGGCTCTACCTGGGTTTCCCCTCCCTGCATCAGGCTTGAAAACTCTCTCAAGGCCATAGCGCAGACAATTTATCGCTCTCCTCATTTGTTTCCCCTCTCTTCAGGATTACTGCCCTTCACTTCCTGGTGTCCAGTGTCTTTTTATTTTTTATTTTTCAGTTGTTTCAGACAGGAGAATAAATCTGGTCCCTGTTACTCCATCTTGGCCCCTAAAGAGTATTTTTAATGTCTGTGTGTACATTCATATTGGGGCACTAATATTATTATTACTACTACTAAAAATGTGGTTGGCTTTAACACTGCCTTTTTTTTTTTTTTCAGAGTATATATTTAATACATGTTTGTCAAAAGTAATAGGCTATGACTCCCTCCATTGTTGCTTTTGTAAACTGTTGGGGGTGTAAAGGTGCTCAACAGAATACTGGCCTATTATAGTAATATAGGTTTATAAGTTCTTTTCAGGAAATTCAGCACATTCCATAAATTAACCATGTTAATTTAACAAAAAGCGAAAAAGGGACATGGAACCCGGAATCTGGTAGACTTGGGCCTTTTATTGCAACAAAGATTCCATTCAGGTTCATTCATTTCTGGAAGCTAAACCCATGGACTGGAGAAAGCAGTCGGGATTGTAGACTTTTCACTCCCACCGGGGACGATCTTTACATGAGAGAAACTGATCACACAACGAAGCTTTGCACAGGAACCTTCAGCCCTGGGTCACTTCAGCAGCTGGGGCTCCACTGCCATCAGCTCTGTGCCTGAGGGGCCCCCCTGTGTGGTTGTCAAGCAGCCCACAGAACCCCCCTCTCCCCGGGAACAGGGACAGTGGGCCAGCCCACCAGCCAGCCTCTGTTTTGCTCCCTTGGCAGGAGGTGCAGAGGGCAGGTCTGCTCAGAGCCAGCTGGCTGCCTCCCACAGGCAAGCCGGGCAAGACAGGCAGAACTTTTTAGTTTCCATTCTCTGCGGCTGCATGTTCCCCAGTGCAGCTTCTGGGGAAAGCAAATGCAGCTGCACAAACAGACAACCCCTCGACCCTGCTCCTGCCATGCTGCTGCCAACATTCAGCTCGAAGGAATGAAAAGCAAACCTAAACCCCGGCTCCTGCCAGGAAAGTTGTTTAAGCTAAAAAGAAACCGGAGGGAATGAGCTGCTCAGTGGCTCTAATTTATTCACACATTTCTGCTGTCAAACTGCAGGAAAGCGCCCCCTCCCCAGACAAAAAGAAAAGCTCTTTAAGACATCTGTCAACTCAGATCTGAGAAGTCAGCTTCCACAACTAGGGATTCTAAAACAGGAGGGTGTCAGGAACACTGGTTTAGCGACATCCTGTGCCATAACCTGGATGCTGGGTGGGTGGGCCAGCACCAGAGGAGCTGTACCGTGCTTCCGCTCAATTCCCATCCATCCAGGACAGGGGCTCCTTGCCCTATAGATGTCCTGGACCCCTCTTGCCAAGCTGGTAAAATATATAGACACTTCTGAAAGCAGTGCTTATCATTCATAAAATAAAATATACAAGGTTGTAAAGGAAACCAATTAGATTAAAATAGTTACCTAAATAATAAAAAATTTAAAATATAGTAATAAATGTGCTTCTTTATGAACACATGAAACAAGATCTAGGGGTAGTTCTCAAAACTACCTTCATTTCAAAGTAGTGATAGGTGTCCACAACATTTCAAGATTTTCTGTAAAGTAGTAAGAAAGTACATGGTTTCTTTAAAAAAAATTTGTTTTTCTTTATTGGTTTTAGAGAGAGAAGAAGGGAGAGGGGGGGAGAGAGAGAGAGAGAGAAACACTGATGAGAGAGAACATCAACTGGCTGCCTCCTGCATGGCCCCCACTGGGGATTTGGCCCACAACCTGGCATGTGTCTGACTGGGAATCAAACCGGCAACCTCTTGGTGCATGGGTCGATGCTCAACCACTGAGCCACACTGGCTGGGCCATGATTTCTTCTTGTGACTAAATCAAGGGGCTTTGCTGCCTACAGTCATAACTGAAGGAAACACCAAATTCCAGTTAGAGGTCAATGGGGAAAAAAAAGCAATGTTGTTCTCCTCCAGGTTTACACACCCTCCTGAGTTTTCCCCTGGGACCGCAGAACTCCCAGGAAAAGCCCTTTCTTTTTCTCGCTGTCAGGAAAGAGCACGCACTGGCTCCACTTCTAACCAGCTGAAAGACTCGGCCTTGCAATACGTAAGCTGAAGAATGTGTACTGTCTTGCCTTCATTGTTTCAGACACTCTCTGCTTACCACTATTATGGGTCTTCTCGAGCACGGCGTAACGACCTCCTAATGCCTTCTCTGTCCCGCCCCCAGCACAGAGCTGTATGAACGGCTCATGTAGCACCATGTTCTTGGAGTCAAGCAAAGGGCTCGGCACACAGAAGACCATCATGCACACACAGGGTGGGGCAAAAGTAGGTTTACAGTTGTGAGTACGGAAACACAGAATTAGTTCTTGTATTATTTATTATTTACTGTATTCTTTCCCATATAAACAACTGTAAACCTACTTTTGCCCCACCTTGTATTTACTGAACGAACAGGTGAATGGACGGATGCAGGCTGTGACCACACTCAGCTTCCCCTCATTGTAAAAATACTCCTGCTTCACACCAGCAGTTCTTAACCCTGCTTACACGTGAGAATTGCTTTGAAAGATTTTAGAAAATAGAGACGCAGGCTGCACTGCAGAGACTGAGAGTCCAGTGGCTTGGGGTTGGTGTCTTGGCCGTTGTATGTTTTTAAAATCACCCCAGGCACAGCCAGGGTTGAGAGCCCTCAGTACCACTGAACAGCTGAGGTGAGGGTCTAAAGTTCCCAGATGAAGCTCCTTCCCAGACCCAGAAAGATGACATTAGTGCGGAATTCTGAACTCTGCAAGGGGCTAAACTCATAAATTGAGTTTCTGACCCTCAGAATCAGGTCATAGTTCCGAATCCAGAAATATCTAGTAATATCTGAACGACATTCTCAGATTTGGATGAGAAAATTCTCAGGCTTGACAGTGAAGACCATGCAACAAACTGCAAACCACACGGGCAAGCAGATGGAGGCCAGCCTCTGTTGCCTCCCTCTCTGCAAGAAATCCTCATGACAGGGCCCAGCCCTGGGCAAGCAGCGCACCCTGCAGCTGTGTGGTGTCCTCACCTGTTGGGTGGCGATGATGACAGTACGGCGACTCAAAGCATTGTAGCAGGAACTGACAGAGTTAATGGGGCTGAAAGCACTTTCTAAGTAGCCAAACACGCGGCTGAGATTAACTCTTGATTACTGCAGTCTAGCAGTTGAGCTCTCACAGGTGGAGAGACCTTATGGTTCAGTGATTAGGAACACAGATTCTAGTGTCAGAATTTCTGCACACACCCCTTACCAGCTGTGTCATTTTATGCAAATTATTTAACCTTTTTGTGCCTCAAGTCCCCATCTCTAAAATGGTGGTAATAAAGGTACCTACACCTCATTGGGTTTTTGGAAAGTCTGGCTGAGTTAATGCACGTAAAGTGCCCAGAACATTAGTTCTAACGTTAGTTGTAACAGGTGTGCGTCAGAATCACCTGGAGGGCTTGCTAAAACAGAGCTTTTGATTCAGTAGATCTGGGCTGGAATTCGAGAATCTGCATGCCCACAAGCTCTGAGGTGATGCTGGTGGGACTGGTTGGGAACCACACTTTGCGAACCACTGGCTTAGAATGATGCCTGGCATGCAGTCAGCACCTAATGAGTGTTAGCTGTTCTTCCCTTCCTGGGCTCTACTCTTTAGTCCCTGAACAGAACACTTTGTGCTCCAGTGCTCCTCAGTACTGTCTTCGTGTAGAAACCACTGTGAAATCTACTTGCAGTGGTTCCCGAAGTGAGGACCCAGACAAGCTGCACGGGCACCCCTGGGCGCTTATTTGTAATGCCAGCTCTTCAGCCTCAACCCAGATCTACTGAATCAGGAATTCTGGGGGTGAAGCTCAATACCCTGTCTTCCAACAGCCCTCCAGATGATTCTAATGCAGACCAACTTTAAGAACTACACCTCTACTAGAAAATCACATGACCACCACAGTAACCCTTCTGCAAATGCCCAGGAGGCAGAGGGCTTCAGGTCCAGAGTACAGTTTTTGGTTGAACTGGAGCGTAATACCTCGCCCAGATCCTAATGAATACTGCAGCCTTGTGTGAATTATTACATTAACTCTCAGTTTCCTCATCTGTAAAATGGGCATCATTTAGGACCCACCTCACAGAAACATGAGATGATGCAAGCAAAGTGTGAGGCACATGCTACCTGTTCAAAGGGTGTTCGCTGTCACAGTTATCTTTATAGTTGCTACGATATGTCCTCTCTCAAATGATTTGAGCTAGCTTATAACAAGGACATACATATACACAGGATAGCTAAAATAAAGATTAAAAAAGTAGCCCTGGCCGGTTTGGCTCAGCGGTTAGAGCGTTGGCCCACGGACTGGGGAGGCCTTGGTTCGGTTCCCGCTAAGGACACGTAACTCGGTCTCTGTATTGAGATTTGAACTTCCCCAGGGGCCAGAGCAGAAAGAAAACACAGGGTTCCATGTTCTCACTGTCTGAACACAGAAAGGTGACTGGCTCTTTTGGGAAGACATCATTGTCCCTCTGCCACACCGGCCCTATATTCTAGAAGCACCTGATCTCAGGAACCTTTGCACAAAGGTCTCGTGTAACAGGAGGGACTCTCCTGCAGGAGCACTTCATGTACCTGTTTCTTAAATTCTCAACAAGAGCCAAGGGCAAGCTCCTTACATCCCAGAGGATGAGAGATATTACACTTACTTTGGGTGCCGAATATCAGGGAGAGAGCGATTCAGGGAGATCTTATCACTGACGTAGATGTTAAATCCATTTTCTCGGTACGCCTGATCCACTCTCTCAGCATCGGTCATGGGATAAGGTCTCCCTTGTTCTCCATTTCCTAGGGGCAAAGAGCAAAGTCAATGTTGCTAATTGAATGGAGTTGAGGAAGACAGATGAAAAATAGGATTCAACCACAAAGATAAAACTATGCTTGATACACAGTGTATGTCCAGATTTTGCAGAAGGAAGGGGACAGAGGGGCGGGGCATGAGCATTCAGCCACGGCCAAGTCACACACTTTATAGACCCTGTCCTCATGTAATCTCCACAGCAAGCATGCGGATGGACCTGAGAGCCCTCGACCTATAGATGGACAAAGGAGGACCCAGAAAGGTTATGAAACCAGGTCTTGGGTTCCAAAGCCCATGCTCCCTCCTCTCTGCCAGGAGCCCCAAACACCCCTGACTGGGAATTCTAATCACCTGGAAGGGAGACCATTTCTACCAAATATAAGCTGATCAACCCTGGGCTAGTCACATCACCGTTCTGAACTATAGCTGGCTCCCCTCTGGTACCCACAGCATGTTGAGAGAGTCAAATGAGATGCTGTGTAGAAAAAAGCTTTTTGTCAACTATAAGACACTATAGAAATGTGAAGAAGTGTTATGATGACTCCCCAGCAGGGTAAACTTTATATGTAAATCAAAACTGCCACAAATGATAAAAGATGCTTTGATTTTTTTGTTTTTTTATCCACACCCGAGGACATTTCTCCATCTTTTGTTCAGATAGAGTGGGAGGGAGAGAGAGGAAGAGAGAGAGAAAGAGAGAAACATCGACATGAAAGGAACACATCGAGTGGCTGCCACCCGCACGACCAACCAGGGCCAGGGACAAACTGCAACCCACGAGGCACGTGCCCTTAGCGGGAACCGAACCCAGGTCTCTCTGGACCGCAGGCCAACGCTCTAACCACTGAGCCAAACCGGCCAGGGCGATGCTTTGATTTTTTTAAAGCCAGCAAACAAATGAAGGTCTGCCTGGACTCAGCCAGGACTGCCCAGAGACTGCTGCTTCGAGTCAGTGTTGGTTAGATGAAGTCCTGTTCTTCCTTTTCTCTGCACAGTCCAGCTGGGGAATTTCCCGATGCTCCAGGGAATTATTCTCTGGGTCTCCAGGCTGCAGATGGGGAGTGGGAACGTCCACACCAAGCCCTGCAATAACATCCCAAGAATCTGCCACCGGCGAGGGTCCCGGAGAAATGGCAATGAAATCGATTGGTCCGGAATTACCTCATCTCCTGGAGCCTGTGCTCTGAGCATCACCCTATTCAGTTTGTGAAGTGAATTCTCACAGCACTGGCTTGACGGGAACGTGCAAGCCGAGAGGTGGAGCCCAAGAAGGGCTGTGGCTGCTCCAGTCCAGCCAGATGCGGGAGAGGCTTCTACTGTGTGTACAGCGTCCCATGTAAAACACTGCTGGCTGGCGCCCAGGGCAGAGTCCACAAGGGCACAGCGCAGCAGAAGCCTCTCTCCAGGAGGGGAGCCTCGGGGAGCGATTCTGATTCAGGCCCTGGAGCCTGGCAGAGTAGAATTCATCGTCCAGCCCTGCTCCTCCCCGGCTCTGTCATCTTGGACATGCCTTGAGCCTGCCTATGTCTTGGTGTTTTTCTTTGTATTAACTGGGATAAGAATGCTCAGCGTGGTGATGAGGGAGGTGATGCAGGGCAAGGTGCCTGGCATACAGTTAGCACTGGTTGTTATCATTCTGGAAGATTTCTCCACTGCTTACTCTTTTTTTGCTAGTTAGGCCAATGTTCTAATGAATCTGGTGTAATTGTCTGGCAAATCAGCTCTTTTTAAATGTTTCCTTTTTTAATTTAAGCAGCCCCCTGTCCCCCCCACACCTTCATTTTAAATTCCTGGCATACAGAAAAATGCATGCCATGTCTCTAGATTTCCCTGAACTTCAGTTATCATTTCAGCTCTATTCAAAGCCTTGTTGTAATCGGGTTTTATCATAACGTAATTAAAAAAAAAATCAATAGTGGATGCCTTTAACTGAGATGAAAATGAATAAGATACCAATCCCTTATATTTCTACAGGGCTTTCCAGTGAAAAGATACTTCATACCAACACCCTGAGGTTGTCAAAGCAGGAAGCATAAACCCCACTGACATATGGGGAAACTGAGGCTTGAGGATTATAGAATTTCCCTGATGGTCACATGGCTGATAAAGGGTGTCAGAGCTGCCCTTCTGACTCTTATCCTGGCTCCCTACAAATGGCCCTCCGTATCATTTCCCTTCCCAGCACCCCAGTCGTAACAGAAACTGCTCCAAAGACTAATTAGGTAAAGAAAACGTTAGTTGAAGCCCACTAAATTCACTCATCCTCTTGGCTGTAAAGCTGGATAGGGAATCAACTCTACCCTCCAGACCTGGGTTCAAATTCCAAGCCTGTCTCTTTCTCACTGTGTGACTGTGAGCAGATTACCCCACCTCTCTGAACTACAGGTCCCTTCTTTTTAAATTTTTTTCAATTTTTATTAATTTATTTTTGTTACAGATGTTTCTCTTTTGTCCCCCCTAGACACGGTCTTCCCCATCCTGTCCCCCACCCCCCTGCATTGCTGTCTATGTCCACTGGTTATGCGTACATGCATATAAGTTCTTGGTTCATCGCCTCCATCGCCCGCCCCCCTTACAGATAGATCCCTTCTCATCAAAGGGCCATAAGGTTGACTCGGCGATTCTCGGAGAAAAGACGCAGCGTGGCGCACGAGCCTTGCTCATCCCAGGAATTCACAAATGTTGGCTCTTATTACTCTTGTCATTTTAGTGGTAGAATATTTCATAAAGGGAGACACTTTCCATCGCCCGGTGAAGGTGGCAGGGCAAGCTCCCGAGGACAGTGGAGAAAGGAAGGGGTGAGCTCTCGGGTGAACAGGGGGATCCAAAATCAGGGGAAGGGAGGGTGGCAGATGGAGAAGAGTCAAGAGGAGGTCCAGACACCCCGTTAAGCGCACACGCACGCACACATACATGCGCTCTCCACAGGACCTGCCTGCGGAGATACTGCTCTCCGTACCTACACGCTGAGCATCCCTTCTGATGGCTTCTTTGTCATGCCAGTCCTTCAGCTTGTGCCCATCTCCCAAGAAAAAGATCTTCTTTTGCTGACTGGGTGATCCCTTAAAAAAATAAAAAAAAAGACAAAGACTGTGACAAAGAAAAGGGAAAATAAGTTTAATAACAGAGATCCAGAAATTATACTGCCTAAGGGAGCTTTTGGTATTGATTGAATATCTGTCATTCGTTCATTTTAATTCCCTTGCTACACACCACTGTTATGCCTGCCATGTGCCATCCAGGTATATGACGGTCGGGATGATGAGAGGCACAGTGTCCACCCTCCAGAACGCAAAAAGCAGCGAGAGACAAAAAAACAGATGGATAAACATCCCTTTCCCTCGAGAGAAAAAGCAGTCAGAGCGGTGCCGCCAACAGAAATATAACAATGTGAGCCTCGTTGGTAACTTTAAATTCTCTACTATTCACAGTGGGAAGAAGAAGAAACCGGTGAAGTTGGCCTTGACAGTATATTTTATTTAGCCCAACATACTCTATGTAAAATATTTCACCACGCAATGTAAAAATTCACTGAGATACTTTTTTTTTTCTGCACTAGGTCTTCAAAACCCAGTGTGCACTTTACACGTGTGCTGAGCTCATGCAGACTCCTTTCCTGTGCTCGGCCGCTCCCTGGACGGGCAGGGGCAGCGGCCCTCAGATGAAAGCCCGCAGAAAGTGCTCCAGGCGTTCACTTCCTCCTGGGAGAACTGGAGAAGGTTCCTGGATAGCGGGCGTTTGGGCTGAGCTTCAGACAGCAGAAATGAGAGGCAGGCAGGCCAAACGGCCTGGGCACGGACTTTCAGGACTGCTGGACTGGCAGACCTGGGCTTGGCCTTGCTCATCTCTACAGTCCCACAGAGGGGAGCACTCGGCAGTTGTGTGTGGAATGTATGAACAAGCAACTGGACGGCTGAGAGGAAGCAGGACTATACAGCAGCCCCCAGGGGCCTGGCTCTGCCGGTGTTGACTGTTGTCTGGGGAGGTGTGCCCATCCTAGGGGTCCATTAGGAATCCGCTCCCCTAATTAAACGAGGCTGCGTTCCAGTGTCTGGGGTCATCAAAGGGGCCACATGCTTTCCCACCCCACAGTCAAGTCTAAAGACGCAGTGAGAACCTTCCCAAGGTGACACTGTTTAGGTATCTTCCGTGTTCCCGTGGATGAGAATGGCTTTCCACGTCACCTGTCCCGTTAAAACCCCGCAAGACTGTTCTTGCCGCTGTGGAAGCAGAATCCACTAGGCCTAGTTCCTGTGTAACTAACCACAAAGGCCAGGAATGTGCGGGGTGCTGGAGCATCAGCAGAAAGAAGCTGCCAGGACAGAATCATCCACACGCCTGTTTATTACGTTTCTGGCTGATTCTCGAGTTAGCAGATTTCCCACCACAGCTCGATATCTTACAACAGCTCTCATGATAATAACAATCCTCTAGTCTCTCTCCTGCAGACCTCTGAGTGGCAAGAAGGAAATTCTGGAAGTTGGCGTGCCGGATGTCCTGGTCGGGAGGGAAAGAAACCTGAAAACAAAGGCCACGTGCCCGCAAACAGTTCCTGGGGTTCACGGAGACCACGGAAGTGAGCTGGAAGTTCCTGTGGTGGAATCAGCTGTGCTGAGCTACATTTCTACGGGAGATTCCTCGGTGCCACCTGGGGGAGGGGGTGTGTGTGGGGGGGCTGAGAATAGGAGTTTGATCCCCCCCCCCTTCAATCAGACCAGCAATGAATGCATCTCTGTTTTCTGTACTGGGGTTCCAGCTGGGATTTCATTTTTAAAAAGGTCCTCTGCTTACACCAAATTGACAACCAAATCTCCAAACAAGTGAACACGTAAATAGACTTGGAAACTGAGCTAGGGCCACCTCCCTATGTCACGGACAGGGAAGCTGAGCCTTGGGGTGGGCCAGGGACTTGCCCAGGTAAATAGATCTCGATGTCAGGATTGATCGATCATGAGCTATTTAGCGATCTTTTCTCCAGCCCTCCCTCCCGAGGCCTTTTCCCTCTTCTTCTACCCAAAGACTGGGAACTCCTTCTGTTGGTTACTTTAGGTCACTGGCTGGAAGAAACAGGCTCAGTGGGAGGTACCAATCTTCTCCAGGTGTGGTCCCTGAAACAGCAGCATCCACACCTGGACACTTGTTAAAAATGCGAACTCCTGAGCCCATCCCAGGCCTCCTGAAGCTGACACTCTGGGAACGGGGCCCTGTGATCAATGTTTTTTTTTTTTTTCTTTATTGATTTTAGAGAGAAAAGAAGGGAGAGGGAGAAAGAGATAGAAACACTGATGGGAGAGAACATCGATTGGCCACCTCCTGCAGGCCCCACTGGGGATCGGGCCCACAACCTCAGCATGTGTCCTGACTGGGAATCGAACTGGAAACCTCTTGGTGCCTGGGCCGATGCTCAACCACTGAGCCACACCGACTGGGCTGATTGATGTTTTAATAAGTTTCCAAGACATTCTGACGCACACTCAAGTTTGAGAATGCTGGTCGAGAATGAAGGAGGCCATATTCCTGCCTGCTCTGTGCTGCTCAGATCAAACCTGGGCAATTCTGCCCAAGGTGAGCAGGTACATATCAGCACAGGTTACAGAAACCTTAGGCCTGGCCACTGGCAAACACACGGTGGCCTTTCAAGCTTGATTTTTCATTGCCAGCATGAAAAAATGAGAGGAGATTTTCTGCCGTTTTATCAAGATTTTTGGATTCCCTTGAAAATACAAAAAGACATGGCAGTGCTGCGACTTGAGTTCCCTCAGCCCCTCAGCTGGGCTGAGCATAGCTGCCCTGCTTAGACAGGGCCTGTCCCCAGTTTGCCACAGTCCCCACCATTCCTTACTGCACTTCGCCTGGCTCGCATCTCTCATCCGTGTTACCTGCCTGGCCCCAGTGACTCCGCAATGTGCTATAATGCACAGGATGAGGGAGCTGGATGAGGAAGATGAGAAACTGTTCTGAGGACCAGGAGATGAGAAGCCCTCAGGGACATGGGAGCAGTGATCTTGTTCTATCAGGTCCCGAGGCTTCAGTGACAGCTCACAGCAGAAGTTATGAAATGACTGAGGGGCCAGCTTAAGATAGAGAAGAAATTCCAACTCTTGGATTGGTGCCAGGACGAAACAGGACCACTTGGAAGAGGCCAGGAACAGGCTGTTCATCAGGGTGTGAAGGGGGAAGTTGAGCACTGGGCTAGGGCTGGTGCTTCTCACATTTTAGGTGCTGTAGAATCACGTGGGGACCTTCTTAAATGCAGATTCGGACTCAGGAGGTCTGCGTGGGGCCTGAGAGTCTGCATTCCAACAAGCTCCCCAGTGATGCCGATGCTGTGGTCCATGCAGGACCCTTAGGTGCCCTTGAAAGGACATTTCAAGAGTCTAAGACTCCATGAAGGGCGCTGTTCCCTCCATGGCCTTGTCTTCCCACCTCCTGGGAACGGGGCACGGGACTGAATGTCACAGTTGTGACCTCCAGAAGCAAACTCCTTAAATCCTGTCCTCAGGATGGGTACTGAATTGCTGAACTGACAGGGCAGAGAATGAAGGTTCCAAAATTCTGGAAGTTTCACACCCACGCCTTCCACCATCTCCACTGTCTTTGCCTTCATGACGTACGTCCCTCTGGAGCGATCAGCAGAGATGACCCATGCTGTTTTAAGTGTCCTCACCTTACAGATGGGGAAACCGAGGCCCCAGGAAGCCAAGCTACTCAACCAAGGCCACACAAGCAGGCAAGAAGGTAAGAACCATGCTGACTCCCAGGCTAGTTTTTCGTGGAGAGAGCCCTTCTGCAGTATGACCTTGGACAGGAGTCACGGGCACCTCAATTGTCCTACCTGCAGAAGCGGAGATGGCACTCCCCACCCAAAGTTTCCTTTCAGATGAACTGAGAAAAGTCACAAACCATATACCCTGAGCACTTTCAGATTTACACACAGAATGTGGATAGTAACCCCATTAGCGGTTTAGGAGTCTCCTGTAAATTGATCTTCTCACCAAAGCACCTTGATATAGGACTCCAACTTGACTATATAGGCTTAGAAGATTCCAATAATAGGTCTGAGCTGTTGGGAGGAGGAAAAGCTGGTTTCAATCCTGAAATCACAAAGCATTCAGAGCCCAAAGGCCCTTAGAATCCTATCCACAAACCTTAACACAATCGGCGGTCAATTTCAGGGGGTTCAAGAATCTCTGAGGTCCATCTGTGGAAAGCCCATAGACAGATCATTCAAACCATCACCAATGTTGACTGAGATCCACTCAGTGCCAGGCACTGTGCCAGGCACTGGGGGTACAGCTGTGACAACATAGATGCCATCGAGGCACTAATGGAATTGAGAGCCAGATCAGTTTCTCTCAAAGGGTGGCTCTTGGGAACCTCATTATAGATATAAATTCCCGTATCTGGAGATAGGAGGCCAGAATAACACGTTTTTCAACCTACTCCCCACATGCTTCTGATTCACAGTAAAGGTAGGAAAACACTTGTTGAAATCCAGCTGCCTCATTTTACAGATACAAAATCTCAGACCAAGAGTAGAACAGACTTGCCCTCTATCCCATAGCTTGTCAGCCCCCCAAACCAGGACAGACCTGGCTGGTCTTTCCCTGGGATAGACTGTGAGCTTCCTGTGGGCAGGGGCATGTCTGTTCTGGCCATCACCACGCCTTCCCACGCTAATCCTTGGCTCACCTGAGGCCCTCAGTAAATGTCAGTGGAATGAGTGACTGCTCATCAGTGTGACCGGTGGTCTAGTTTAACGACTCAGAACATTCTGGTTCCAGAGTTGGACAAGCCTAGGTTTCACTTCCTGGGCAGGAGGACCCCAGTTTCCTTGACTGATAAATAGGGAAAACTAATGGAATAACCTGTGGGTTGTTGGGAGGATGAACTGAGCACAATCTACCCTAAGCATCTAGCTTGGTGTCTGGCCCAAAGTCAGGCCCTCTCAATGCAAGAATTCTACTAGGAATCAATTCATTTTAGAGAAAGGCTATGATATGATGTTGGCGATGGTCACGTTAGGGAGACTAGGAAAGGGACGGGGATCTCGTAATAAAAC